TTGCCAAATGTATTCGTCGATAGTAGTAGATACTCGATATATATTTTTTCAACAATTTCTTGCAATAGTGAATCCGTATCGGCAAAATTTTTTAAATGCACAAAGATTTTTTGGCTCTGAATATATTTAAAAATCATTTACTTGTGTGTTGATGAATTTATATACTAGTAAATGAAGTACCTAATACTTGTTTTGATTTGAATAGGTAGCGATATTATGAATTTATTATACGTAATCTAAAGATTTTGACGAAATAAAAGTAATTAGTTATCTGTTAACCTTGACTTCATGCTGGCACCAGTATTATCAGATGATGAACATACTCTTCGAAAACTTACAGCAGAAATATCGTGTTTGGACTCATTAGATAGGTCTCGATGAATAGAGTTTAAAAAACTTAAAATAAATGGTAAATTAGAAATAATGTATAAATACCACTTACGTAAAATTCAACCACTTTAAACTTAATAATAATAATAATTAGGAAAAGAGAAAAGCTATACATGCACTGAAAGTAATTGATGCCTTCCACACAATATTTTCAGTATTAAACAACTCTGTTTGTTCAGTAAAAGTGTAAATACACTGGTAACCTTTAATCATATTTTATATGCAAACATTACATATACAAACCCTAAAGTTTTATTTCAGAATAGCCAGCAGTTTTCAAGAAATAAGTCTTTGAAATTGTACGTGTAACTTATATATATACTAGTTTTTTCACCATAACAAACAACACCAATATGGCCTAGTTAGTAGTTTACCTGTGTACCAATTAATAATAATAGTAATCTCAGGACAATTCACACAGCTTCATCTAGACCCAAGTTAAGCTAGCTGAAGATTATGTTATGGGTACCAGACAACTGATATAAATACAAAGATTTTTTTCGTAAATACATATATATTATCTATACATAGAAAACACCCAGACCGTTACAAACAATCCTACTCATGAATACAAATGTTTGCAGCGTGCGAGGAATCGAACCCTCGACCACCAAGCAGGAATCAAAGCAGTGTGCTAAATCGCTAGACTACCGACAACTAGCTGTACACGCGACTTCGTCCGCGTGGAATTTAACTTCTTATATTTTAGAAAAATAAAGTGAAATTCCACACGGACGAAATCCCGTGTACAGCTAGTCATCAATAAAAAAACACGTTGGTATCTCTAATATATTATACAGTAGCTGTTCCCGCGACTTAGTCCACGTGGTTTTTAACTTTATTTTTCTAAAATAAAAGTAGCCTAAGTTACTCCTTATTACATCAGCTACCTGCCAAAAAAAGTCCCGTCAAAATCGGTCCAGCCATTACAGAGATTAGCTGGAACAAACAGACAGACGGACAAAAATTGTAAAATATGTTATTTTGGTGTATGTACCGTATTTATATTCATATGCAAGTAGTAAAAAACGGTTATTTCAATATTACAAACAACAGGCTTCAACATTCTCAAGTACCACAAAAAAGATGTTTTTTCTATCAAATAAACCGTTTTTATTAAAAACAAGCTGTTCCCGCGACTTCGTCCGCGTGGAATTTAACTTTATTTTTCTAAAATAAAAGTAACCTAAGTTACTCCTTATAAATCAGCTACCTGCCAAAAAAAGTACCGTCAAAATCGGTCCAGCCATTTCAGAGATTAGCCGGAACAAACAGACCGACAGACAGACAGACAAAAATTATAAAAATTGTTATTTTGGTATATGTACCTTATATATATTCATATGCATGTAGTAAAAAACGGTTATTTCAGTATTACAAACAGACACTCCAATTTTATTTATATGTATAGATGTATAGATTATTATTTATTTATTTATTTATTCATCCAAAATAATACAAATTGTGTAGGATAACGTAATAGTAACATTACAGTAAAATTTTGTCAACAACATAATAGCAACTTAAATATTAAATCTCGGTATATCTATAGACTAGCTGGCCCCAGCGACTTCGTCCGCGTGAAATTTTATTTTATTTTTCTAAAATAACAGTAGCGTAAGTTACTCCTTATTACATCAGCTACTTGCCAAAAAAGTCCCGTCAAAATCGGTCCAGCTATTTCAGAGATTAGCCGGAACAAACAGACGGACAGACAAAACTTGTAAAATATGTTATTTTGGTGTATGTACCGTATTTATATTCATATGCAGGTAGTAAAAAACGGTTATTTCAATATTACAAACAGACACTCCAATTTTATTTACATGTATAGATGTATAGATTAAAAAAAAAGTAACAGCATAAGGCTAGTCGTATGCCTAATATATATAATAATGTAATAAATTCATTTAAACAGAAATTGCGGGAACATTATTTAAATTTGTAACTTTTTTACTGTCCTCCTTTTTTCACATCTTTCTGTTATATCCCTCTCTATATTTTCTGTTTTTCTTACTTTCAATTTGAGACTGTACTTATAATTTGATTATCGGATCATTATGTATTTATTTATACATTTATGGGTTATATATTTATGTATGTATATTGTTATTTTTTTATAGAAATGTATATTTTGCTTATCTTTATTATCTTTATAAATCTTTTTTTGACATTTCTTATTTATATTAGTGCACCGCCAATAATCTTTCGCTGCACCACTCATGGTTGCCTGGTAAATAACGCGGCAAGATATTAAGTCCGCCACATGTACAATTTTTTTTGTGCATTAAAGTTAAATAAATAAAAAAAATACAATACTGTTTAATGAAAATGCGTATTGTCTAGTGCTTTGAGATGTATCAAAATAAGGTCAACAAAAAAGTCCGTGATGGTATATGTCTATCTCTCAAGGATAACCAACAATAACCATTTTTTATCTTTTACATTTTACGGGAATTTTTTTTATCGTATGTTTCCCTTAAAATCATGTAAACTATGCTATTATGTCATAATCTAAAGAAATAATAATATTTTATAGTGAAATATCCACTATAAAATACCAAAAAGTAGCAATGTAATTCGTTACGCGCGAATCAGGTGTTATAAGGTCAAAGGTCGGTGCACCCCGCGTATTTGATAAATCTAAAGCTTCTCTGGATGTCTTTAAGAGAAAATGGCAGTATGTACGTGCATATGTCACACAAGTCCTTAAGTGATAAGTTTTTCAAATGTACAATATAGAATAAATATTTTTAAGTACAGTACTTACGTACATTAATATAATACCTACTTTTTACTTGTATCTATTGTTATCAAAATTAAATTATAAATTCTTAACTTGACCACGACTATGTGACCCTCTCTTGGCGCCAAAACGAGTGAAAAAATGAACAGCATACGACGACGACGCAGTACCTATAGAGTGGAGCAACTGCTTATTCAGTTTTATTCAACTATTTAGTCCCTCCACCGTTACAATGAATGGAGGCGGATATTACAATGTACGTAGCATTGCGAATATAAAATATCTAGATTAGGTATAATAAATTCATAATTCATAGGCCGTTACGGTATCAGAGCCAAAAAGTCTTCTTTCTTTGTTTATGTACTGTTAGATGCGACAGCGACTTTGTTTTTATATTACTATGTAATGATTGATATACCTAAAATAAATAAAATATCTGAGGTTTGGACAAAAATTCAAAAGGTACTTTATTTTGAAAAAGTATTTTGAAAATACCTATTTTGCATTTAGTATTTGAAATACAAAAACAAAACTATTATTGTTTTTAGAGTGACATTTCTATGAATTCACTGTCGATAGCGAGCGGTGGGATGGAAAAAGATAACCGTTTATAAATATATAATAAATAGCCCTGGACAATTAACACAGACTGATACTGAACTGATATAGATATTTTTATTTTGTAAATACATATGTAATATACATATAAAACACCCAGACCGATGAAAACAATCGATGACCGATGAGTACAATTGTATGCACCGTGCGAGAAATCGAACCCGCGACCATCGGATGTAAAGCGGTGTGACCACCGAGGCAGTCGAAATATATAAATAATCTTATGAATTTAATTTATTCTAATTTGTTTGTGTGCGCGGGGTGCGGTGTACGGTGCTCCCCCTTGCCTCCACCGTTGCTGGAGCTTGCATGTATGGAGCATTGCGAATATAAAATATCTAGATTAGTAAATTCATAATTGATAGACCGTTACGGTATCTATATATATTCGGATTAAAATAAGTATCGCAGTAAGGACCAGTATATAAAGTGATCAACATAATTAATTGATTTTTGAAATATATATACAGAGCCAAAAAGTCTTTGTGTATTCAAAAAATATCTAATTTGTTTGTGTGCGCGGGGTGCGGTGTACGGTGCAGGGGGGACCCTGCCTCCACCGTTGCTGGAGCTTGCATGTATGGAGCATTGCGAATATAAAATATCTACATTAGTAAATTAATAAATTCATAATTGATAGACCGTTACGGTATCTATATATATTCGGATGTAAATAAGTATCGCAGTAAGGACGAGTATATAAAGTGATCAACATAATTAATTGATTTTTGGAATATATGCAGAGCCAAAAAGTCTTTGTGTATACCAAAAATTTAGCCGTTCGGAGCCATTCAGTCACGAATTATTAGTAAAAAAAGTGTCGAGTATATCGTACTATCGACGAATATATATGGCCACATCGCAAAATAGAATGCGACGTTGCCATACCGCCTGAGATATACGCGATAGAGGTCAAGTTATTCAGTGCAAAAGGTGGAATCGGCAAGTGTTTAGGTTGTGGCGTGATCAACAAAGTGCCCAAAGAGGTGTTTATATATATATATATGTACTTTTTGTATTTTTTATCCAACAACAGTGAGTAATGCGGAAGGTTTAAGTGTATAATTTCTGAAGGCCTAGTGTTCCCTATTCCAAATACTTTCTTAGTATAAGCAGATTGTGTCATCGGCTTGCTTACTAGAGCAAAGGGCGCTTGATAATACTGGCCACCAATAAAAACATATGGCCATTAAATTTTAAATTTAGAAGAAAAAGCCATTCAAAATAAAAACTGGAAGATAAAGGACGCTCCGTAATTTTAACTTTTCAAAACAAGAAAAGTATTAATTTAATGAATATAATATAATTATTTTTATTAAAATATATGCACTCTACAGTGAGTGTCCACTAAACTGTACTACACATTGGTACCTGAGCAAAGGTGAGTAAGTTTGGTCTTACATTTCTTTGGAGAGTTCGGAGTGAGATGGACGTTATTTCAGGGTGAAATCGTATTTCTCCTTCCTATTCTAATAATTATTTTCTTTTGAAAAAATACAGTCCACTCTCTATTTTTATTAATTCTTTATCCAACACCTAGTGTAGAATAATTGACATACTCGTCCGAAGCCGGCTCGGATCGTTTGCTTGCTCTAGTAAGATGCATGCATTTCATGCCAGTTTATTATTTCTTGCAAGTATGTTTTGTATGCACACTTTACGTAAATGCAGTAAGATTTTTGGTTGGGATTGCTCTAGAACTATTGTCCATCTGTGCATTATTCACCACACATTGACAAAATCTTTATCTAAGAAAAAATCTGATGTCATATATATATATATATATATATATATATATAAACACCTCTTTGGGCACTTTGTTGATCACGCCACAACCTAAACACTTGCCGATTCCACCTTTTGCACTGAATAACTTGACCTCTATCGCGTATATCTCAGGCGGTATGGCAACGTCGCATTCTATTTTGCGATGTGGCCATATATATTCGTCGATAGTACGATATACTCGACACTTTTTTTACTAATAATTCGTGACTGAATGGCTCCGAACGGCTAAATTTTTGGTATACACAAAGACTTTTTGGCTCTGAATATATTCCAAAAATCAATTAATTATGTTGATCACTTTATATACTCGTCCTTACTGCGATACTTATTTACATCCGAATATATATAGATACCGTAACGGTCTATCAATTATGAATTTATTAATTTACTAATGTAGATATTTTATATTCGCAATGCTCCATACATGCAAGCTCCAGCAACGGTGGAGGCAGGGTCCCCCTGCACCGTACACCGCACCCCGCGCACACAAACAAATTAGATATTTTTTGAATACACAAAGACTTTTTGGCTCTGTATATATATTTCAAAAATCAATTAATTATGTTGATCACTTTATATACTGGTCCTTACTGCGATACTTATTTTAATCCGAATATATATAGATACCGTAACGGTCTATCAATTATGAATTTACTAATCTAGATATTTTATATTCGCAATGCTCCATACATGCAAGCTCCAGCAACGTTGGAGGCAGGGGGGAGCACCGTACACCGCACCCCGCGCACACAAACAAATTAGAATAAATTAAATTCATAAGATTATTTATATATTTCGACTGCCTCGGTGGTCACACCGCTTTACATCCGATGGTCGCGGGTTCGATTTCTCGCACGGTGCAAACAATTGTACTCATCGGTCATCGATTGTTTTCATCGGTCTGGGTGTTTTATATGTATATTATATATGTATTTACAAAATAAAAATATCTATATCAGTTCAGTATCAGTCTGTGTTAATTGTCCAGGGCTATTTATTATATATTTATAAACGGTTATCTTTTTCCATCCCACCGCTCGCTATCGACAGTGAATTCATAGAAATGTCACTCTAAAAACAATAATAGTTTTGTTTTTGTATTTCAAATACTAAATGCAAAATAGGTATTTTCAAAATACTTTTTCAAAATAAAGTACCTTTTGAATTTTTGTCCAAACCTCAGATATTTTATTTATTTTAGGTATATCAATCATTACATAGTAATATAAAAACAAAGTCGCTGTCGCATCTAACAGTACATAAACAAAGAAAGAAGACTTTTTGGCTCTGATACCGTAACGGCCTATGAATTATGAATTTATTATACCTAATCTAGATATTTTATATTCGCAATGCTACGTACATTGTAATATCCGCCTCCATTCATTGTAACGGTGGAGGGACTAAATAGTTGAATAAAACTGAATAAGCAGTTGCTCCACTCTATAGGTACTGCGTCGTCGTCGTATGCTGTTCATTTTTTCACTCGTTTTGGCGCCAAGAGAGGGTCACATAGTCGTGGTCAAGTTAAGAACTTATAATTTAATTTTGATAACAATAGATACAAGTAAAAAGTAGGTATTATATTAATGTACGTAAGTACTGTACTTAAAAATATTTATTCTATATTGTACATTTGAAAAACTTATCACTTAAGGACTTGTGTGACATATACACGTACATACTGCCATTTTCTCTTAAAGACATCCAGAGAAGCTTTAGATTTATCAAATACGCGGGGTGCACCGACCTTTGACCTTATAACACCTGATTCGCGCGTAACGAATTACATTGCTACTTTTTGGTATTTTATAGTGGATATTTCACTATAAAATATTATTATTTCTTTAGATTATGACATAATAGCATAGTTTACATGATTTTAAGGGAAACATACGATAAAAAAAATTCCCGTAAAATGTAAAAGATAAAAAATGGTTATTGTTGGTTATCCTTGAGAGATAGACATATACCATCACGGACTTTTTTGTTGACCTTATTTTGATACATCTCAAAGCACTAGACAATACGCATTTTCATTAAACAGTATTGTATTTTTTTTATTTATTTAACTTTAATGCACAAAAAAAATTGTATACGTGGCGGACTTAATATCTTGCCGCGTTATTTACCAGGCAACCATGAGTGGTGCAGCGAAAGATTATTGGCGGTGCACTAATATAAATAAGAAATGTCAAAAAAGATTTATAAAGATAATAAAGATAAGCAAAATATACATTTCTATAAAAAAATAACAATATACATACATAAATATATAACCCATAAATGTATAAATAAATACATAATGATCCGATAATCAAATTATAAGTACAGTCTCAAATTGAAAGTAAGAAAAACAGAAAATATAGAGAGAACTATAGGGATATAACAGAAAGATGTGAAAAAAGGAGGACAGTAAAAAAGTTACAAATTTAAATAATGTTCCCGCAATTTCTGTTTAAATGAATTTATTACATTACTAGCTGTACCCGCGACTTCGTCCGCGTAAATAATGAAAAAATATTTAACTCAATTAACACAATATAAGTCAAATAAATAAGTTTCATCATTTTAGCTTAAAAAATGATAAAAAATAAAAATAAATATTTAATCAATAGACTAAAAAATAAATTTCAAGCTTCTAGCTTTAAACATGACGATATATCTATATGACCTTGGATCTACCCTTTCAATCCTCTTGCAACCCTTTTTCACATTAAAAAGTAACCTATTACCTTTCTCAGGATCTAGTCTATCTATGTCTGTTTCAAATTTCAATTTAAATCGGTTCAATATTTTTGGCGTGTAAGCGAGACAAACAGACAGACAAAGTTACTTTCACATGTATAATATCAGTAGGGTATTTAATAAACTAACTCTAAAAAGACAAAGAAAAAAGTTTAATCGTTCTAGCTTCCACAACCACACAAACAGCAAATTTCCACAATAACTTTCATTCCCTATTTTATTTTACTACCCCCCCGCCCCCGAAGAGTAAAAATTTTACAAACATTGAATGTCTAAAAATGAGTTTCAAACTTCTAGTTTTAAAATATGACGATTCTTCCATACAGCGTACCATTGCAACCCCCTTACAATCCTTTTTTCACATTCAAAAGTACCCTATATTCTTTGTCCGGGTGTAAACTAACTGTGTTTAAATTTTTTAAATTTCATTTAAATTTTTGTTTTGTTTTGGAGCGTAAGACTGACAGAAAGACAAACAGACTTACTTTCACAGTTATAACATTAGTGGGGTATTTAAAAATCTACCCCAAAAGTACCAATGAAAATAGTTTCATCGTTCTAGTTTCAAAAATTACGAATTTACATAATAACTATCATCCCCTATTTTATTTTGCCCCCTTAAGGGTAATTTTTTTACAAACAATGAATGTCATATTTATTTATATTTAATCAACAGCCTCAAAAATAAGTTTCAAGCCTCTAGCTTCAAAAATGACGATTTTACATAAAAATTTGCATCCCCTATTTTATTTTACCCCCTTAAGGGTAATTTTTTACAAACATTGAATGTCATTTTTATTTATATTTAATCAACAGTCTCAACAATCAGTTTCAAGCTTCTAGCTTCAAAAATGACGTGTTTACATAAAAACTTGCATCCCCTATTTTATTTTACCCCCTTAAGGGTATTTTTTACAAACAATGAATGTCATATGTATTTATATTTAATCAACAGTCTCAACAATAAGTTTCAAGCTTCTAGCTTCAAAAATGTCGAATTTACATAAAAATTTGCATCCCCTATTTTATTTTACCCCCTTAAGAGTATTTTTTTACAAACATTGAATGTCATTTTTATTTATATTTAATCAACAGCCTCAAAAATAAGTTTCAAGCTTCTAGCTTCAAAAATGACGATTCTTCCATACAATCTTTCATCCCCCTTTTAACCCCTTACAACCCTTTTTTCGCATTAAAAAGTAGCCTATGTCCGTTCTCAGGGTCTAGACTAACTGTATACCAAATTTCATTCAAATCGGTTCAGTAGTTTTGGCGTGAAAGCGAGACAGACAGACAGAATTACTTTCGCATTTATAATATTAGTTTTTGTCGCAGCACAAAAATATATTTTTATCGTTTCCGTACAAATAGTAATTTTACAGTATTAATCTACAAACCAACATTTTGTTTCTTACAATCAGCTAAATAATTTAAATAGTTTCATAATATATGACACAATGAAAGGGTCATTTATTTTATAAAAAAGACAGTTAGTTTTTATTTTAGTGAAAAATAAGAAAATTCTACTTTGATACAACAACCATATATTTATTAATACCTATACTTTATTAACTTTGTGTTAATGCTTTTTAAATAAATACCCACACATTATTTCTGTATAACCTACAAAAATGGGTAAATAATTTAATTTCGTATAGTGCCACACCACAACATTCTTTAAAAAATGTAAATAATAGAATGTGAAGAAATTGTGATTGTTATTAAGTTTTTTTTAAATAAGTTCGTCAGAACAGAGAAACAACATTTGACATTTATTATTATTTGACATTTGACATTGACTTTAATTTTTGTAATTTATATTGTAAAACTTTAAGTTGGGCTAAA